TTTTTTTCCCCCCCCCCCCCTTATTTAACCGCCCTTGACAGACTATAATAATTTATGACTGTCAAATTGTCAGGTTTTCAAATTACAGTTATCAAATTGTTAGTTACAAAATTATAAGTTAATAAATTGTCAGGTTATCAAATTACAGTTACAAAATTGTTAATTACCAAATTATTAGTTACAAAAAAAGGCAAAAAGTCATGCAATTCCTTATCTCTCCTCTTGATGTTTTTTTAGTGATACATCAATTTGATAAGTCTTAAATTTGTTTATAATCTAAAGAGATTACATAAACATTTATCTTAATAGAAACACTTTTAAAAGAACATATTACTAAAATACTGAAATTACTGAAAATTATAAAATTACTGAAATTATTTAAAATTAAATTATCAAAGGTCAGAACTTTTGTGTAGAATATTGTTAATCTTTGACGCTTGATCTCGTTATCCAATTAGGGTACTTTTAAATTGAAATCGGGTTCACCCCCCCTTGTTACGCTGCACTGCCTCCACATGTAAAGTGGCATGCCCAATTCACAGGGTATCCTTTGAACCGTTGGCTGATCAAAAATGACGCAAAAACGATTATTTATAACTTTGTATGCTGTTATATAATTTCTTTAAGATATTATCATTTATTTTCTGGGGTTTAAAGAAACCAGTTTGATTTTGAATTTGTGTTACAATTTAAACTTTGGTACTTTACTGAAGTCAAAATAATCCTGGGCAGGCAAGATCTACCATGGAGTAAATTGTGGATTTCGAGATCAATATTTTATCTTTATTCCATCATGGATCCCCCACATATTAATCGTATTCAGGGGTAAAAGAGGGGGCTATGATCAGAGTATTATCTAAAATAAAAATATGGAAAGGTATTGTATTGTTTATTACAGATCCTCAATTAAAGTTGATATCAAGATCAAGCGATTGGGATTATTAAGTACCTAACATAAAAGTTCCGCTTTTCTTCTTTTATATATTCTAGGAAGAATTTTATGAACAAAACTCAAGCTGAGCATGTGACAAAGGTATAACCATTTTGCCAGGTGACTACTTTGCCATTTGACAATTTGGCCAGTTGATAAATTTGCCAATTGACCATTTTGTCCGTTAACCATTTTGCCAGTTGACCATTTTGCCAGTTGACATATTTGCAGGTTAACCACTTTGCCAGTTAACCATTTTGCCAGTTGACCATTTTGCAAGTTGACATATTTGCCAATTAACAATTTGCCAGTTAACAAATTGCCTGGTAATACTTTTCCAATTAAGAGTTTGCCAGTCAACACTTTGCCGGTAAACTAAATTTGTTTCTTTCCACTCAGGAAATAAAAGCATTTCAAATGGTTTTTGATTTGAAATAATTCATGAAAATTATCTATAATTTCTAAAACAAACTTTATTTTACAAACTCTTAATTGGCAAAGAGGTAAATAGCGGAATGGTCACTGGCATAAATGTCAACTAGTAAAATCACCAACTGGCAAAATTGACAACTGGTAAAAATTTCAGCTGGCAAATTTTGCTAAGTATTTAAACTAGCAAATTTGTCAACTAATAAATCGTCAACAGGCAAAAATGGCAACTGTTAAATTTTGCAAAGTGTTAACTGGCAAAATTGCCACCAGGCATAATTGTCAACTAGCAAAATTGCCACGTGGTAAATATGTCACCTTGCATATTTTTCAACACCCAAATTTGTCTGGTAAAAAGGTCAACTGGCAAAATGACCAACTGGCAAAATGATCAGCTGGCAAAATGGTCAACTGGCAAAATGGTCAACTGGCAAAATGGTCAACTGGCAAAATGATCAAATGGCAAAATGGTCAACTGGCAAATTGTCAACAGACAAAATGGTCAACCGGAAAATTGTCAATTACCAAAGTGGTCAACTGACATAGTGGTCACCTGGCAAAATGGTCACGGCAAAGAGTTAAATGGCAAAGTGTCCCGTGGAACCTTTTTCACATGGTAAAATTGCTACATTGCAAAGTGCCGCCTGGCAAATTGTCGCTGGGAACTAGATTCCTGGCAAAACTCGCCACTGACAAAGTACCTTACATTTAAAGTTGTATACCTCTATAGGTTCAATATCTGAACTGTACTGTCCAGTCCTCGCCCAGTCCTGAATAGTAAACAACAAAATGTAAACATTTTATTAAAGCATTTTTACGACAATCTTTAAGTAGTTTATTGACCTTTATGTTTCGAGGGACAGTATGACTAAATCCATCTATAAGAAAGTCATGGGAAAGAAAGTGTTTGGAAAAAAGTACTTGAAATTTTAAAAGTCGTGATTTCATGTCCTTAAAAATAATTTGCAGTACATATTTCCGTGATTTTTTTTTCGCAGGACTTTTCAAAAAATTATTAACAATAGCTCGTTTGAATGATTTTGTTTTTAAAAAACGATCATTTTTCACGTCAATCGTTAATTGTTTTTTTGAATTCGACACTCTGTTTCTCAAAAAATTTCGTTCATTCTCAAAAAATAATGTTCCTTTAAATAAACGATGTCCATCTCAATCCATATGAAATGATTTTAGCAGGAATGCGGAAACTAATTAATTTGTTGTTTTCCTTTCTCTTTGTTGAGCTTGAATTCCCCATAGTTCTCTAAGCTGCTTCTCTAGTCTACGCTATTTGGTTTGCTAGGTAAAATTTGCAAAGATTTATTTTCACGTAAATCGCAGTGACAGCTAACTAAGATTTTTCCAAGCTAGAGAGTGTTCTGAAAATGTTTTCCAAAAATAAAAAAGTTTTGTAGAACACTGTAAAATGCTCGAAATATGGATATACAATTTTTGTTTGCATATATTTATTGCATTTTTATTTGTATCAGAACATTAATACAAAGAATGTACAGGGTTACCCACAAAGGATGAGACTGTAAAGACAGGCCTGTACAATGGGGGGGGGTTAGTCCTCTCCCCCCCCCCTGGGATTTATGGAAAAGGGTTAAAATCAGGTGTGGTAGGTAAAAAAGGAGCTTACCCTCATCTTCAAAGGTTTACGCACCGTTTATTTTCAAATTTGACCTCAGTATTTCCCTTTTATCTAAAATCTCTCCCCCCCCCCATACTTGATAAACAACTAAAGCTATATGCATTATCCAATTGTTTGGAATGTCATCCCGATACCCCCATGAAGGTCAGATTCCATTATAGACTTCAGGAGACTACTCAGGACTTCAGAGAGTATTACAGAACTATACAGAGGGATACAATATAATATAAAGTCCTTGAATCAGGAGGACAGTGGACTACAAAGGGGAGTAATCACAGGAGACTACTCTGAACTTCAGAGAGTAATACAGAACTATACAGAGGGATACATTATAATATATTGACCTTGAATCAAGACTACAGTGGACTACAAAGGGTAGTAGTCACAGGAGGCTACTCTGAACTTCAGAGAGTAATACAGAACTATACAGAGGGATACATTGTAATATCTATTCCTTGAATAACAGCATTTTTAAGGAAAGGAGAGGCAAACATCGTCCGGGGGGGTTAAAAAAATCCTGTGTACGCGCCTGGGTAAAGACAACTTGAAACTCGTTAAAGATGACGTGGATGACGATTCCTACGTTAAATTAAGTCTTTTGCCTTTATTATATACTTTTAATATCTTGTTTAATGGTGTGACAGAAGAAAACAAAGTTTACTGCAGTTGCAGGAAACTATAAATAAAAGGAATCAGTCAGTCTATTTTTTATTTTTTTTTTATTTTTATTTTTTTTATTTTGAATAATCTTTTTGTCTGTTTATCTTCTTGTGATTTTTACATTTTTTAAATTTTTTATCGATTTTGATGGTTATTATATCGTTAGAACTGACGAGGGTCAACCCAGACCGAAATATATTTTCAATAAATGTGGAACTAACATCTACTTTTTTACTCTACAGAGGTTTGGTCCATCGCCATCACTGAATTTTAAATCTGTCTATATATCAGGGGCGTAGTAAGGAATTTGTCTAGGGTGGGTTGAACATTTTTTTTCCAGGGGGCTCAGCACCCGTTGGGGCCTGAAAACCCCCTGAAATCCATAGATTTCACTGGTCCATGGGTTGGCTGAGCCCTCATAGCCCCCCCTCCCCCGTGACTACGCCTCTGCTATATATACATTCCGTACACTCTTCTCTGAAGTCTCATCTTTTGTGGGTAACCCTGTACATGATATTTATCAGTTTATTGGGTTAGTACTTTACTAATAAATGTGCTGTACTATGTTAATATCAGTGTACTGGATAAGTGCTTTACAAATAGTTGTACTAACTATGTTTATATGTAATAAATACCATACCAAATCCCATAGTTATATATTTGAACATACCTAGATAAATTACGTTTTGCAATGTATGTAAATCTAAATGCGCTTATCCTTAACTATGCAAGACTTGTAATGGGATTAGCTAGCTATGCATTGCATGATTAGCTTAAATACTCGTATATATATTTGTGCAAATCTTATAAATACGTATATTAATTTAATCTTTAGCATAGATATTTAAATACAGATCAGTTGGAATAAACTCCACTTAGATTGCAGTGAGAGAAGTAATTGTTCCTTGTTTAGCAAACAAGTTGATGATATTGTGTCTGTGTATGGCATTGATAGTTTACAAGCTTGTGTCCGAGTTGACGATTATAGCCGATGAGATTGTGGCCATGTTTAGCATTGATAGTTTATAAGCTTGTGTCCGTGTTGACATTGATAGCTTATGAGATTGTGAACATGTTTGGAATTGATAGTTTACAAGCTTGTGTCCGTGTTGACATTGATAGCTTATAAGATTGTGACCGTGTTTGGAATTGATAGCTTACAAGCTTGTGTCCGTGTTGACATTGATAGCTTATGAGATTGTGACCGTGTTTGGAACTGATAGTATACAAGCTTGTGTCCATGTTGATATTAATAGCTGATGACATTGTGCCCATGTTTGGAATTGATAGTTTACAAGCTTGTGTCCGTGTTGACATTGATAGCTTATGAGATTGTGACCGTGTTTGGAACTGATAGTTTACAAGCTTGTGTCCATGTTGATATTAATAGCTGATGACATTGTGCCCATGTTTGGAATTGATAGTTTACAAGCTTGTGTCCATGTTGATAATAATAGCTGATGACATTGTGCCCATGTTTGACATTGATAGTTTACAAGATTGTGTCCGTGTTGACGTTGATAGCTTATGAGATTGTGACCGTGTTTGGAATTGATAGTTTACAAGCTTGTGTCCATGTTGATATTAAAAGCTGATGACATTGTGCCCATGTTTGGAATTGATAGCTTACAAGCTTGTGTCCGTGTTGACGTTGATAGCTTATGAGATTGTGCCCATGTTTGGCATTGATAGTTTACAAGCTTGTGTCCGTGTTGACATTGCTAGCTGATGACATTGTGCCCATGTTTGGCATTGATAGTTTACAAGCTTGTGTCCATGTTGATATTAAAAGCTGATGACATTGTGCCCATGTTTGGCATTGATAGTTTATGAGATTGTGTCCGTGTTTGACATTGATATTTCAAGAGATTCTGCCCGTGCTTGGCATTGAAAGTGAAGAGTTGTACCTGGATTGATACGGGTCTGAAAGCAGTCTTATGAGTCAGACATCTACTGCAATATATCAGTGTACTGGATTAGAACTTTACCAAAAGTTGTACAAACTATGTTTTTATCAGTGTACTGGATTCGTACTATATAATTACCAATAATTAATATCAGTTTATAAGTACTTTACAAATAGTTGTACTAACTATGTTAATAGCAGTGTATAAGTACTTTACAAATAGTTGTACTAACTATGTTAATATCAGTGTATAAGTACTTTACAAATAGTTGTCTTGAATTACATTTGTACCAGTTTACAGGATACGTACAGGGTGCATAAACCAAAACTCAAGTTTTAAATCTTTATTTTTAAGAGTTTTGAGTCTTCTTTACAGTCTAATACTTTGTGGGTACTTCACAAAGAATGATGGACCATACTCGTACAAGTGTATCAAAGTATTACAACTTCAGAAGATGTCTGTAATGAACTGAACTCATTTTGTGAAAAAATTGGAAATCCGCCAAATTTTTGTAGAAAGGAGATTTGTATTTTCTCGTTCAGCTTAATCCAGGTGTGATAAGGACAAAGGGGGGGGCAGGACAAATGAGGGGTCAGGACAAATGAGGGGTCAGGACAAAAGTAAATTAGATGTTTAAATCTATAGTATGGACAAATTTGATTTTAGCAAGAAAAGTGTAAGTCACTTTAGCAGATAAACAAAAAAACATGGATATCAGCAGTTTTAAACTACCCTTTTGGGAACAGGAAGTGATGTCATAATGTTTCTCCGGCCAGGGGAACCAACCTTTATGGGATCAAGTGAAATATATTTACTCCTGAAATTTGGGAGAAGTAACGTATTTTTGAGAATTTTAGAAAAGCTAAATTTTTTTTTCAAAATTTAGTAAAATATATTTACCATTGTTTTATCCAGAAAGGGTCTGATGATAGAAAATTATATTAAAACATGGTACGAGCATGAAAGAACTTAATAGAAGATGTAACAAGAACAGGATAGGATAATAGAACATTATATTAGTACATTTATAGAACAGGATAGAATATGATAGAACATTATATAAGAACATGGATGGAATAGTATGGAATATGCTAGAACATTATATAAGAACATGGATGGAATAGTATGGAATATGATAGAACACCATAAAAGAACATGGATGGAATAGTATGAATATGATAGAACATTATGTAAGAACATGGATGGAATAGTATGGAATATGATAGAACATTATATATATAAGAACATGGATGGAATAGTATGGAATATGATAGAACACTATAAAAGAACATGGATGGAATAGTATGAATATGATAGAACATTATATAAGAACATGGATGGAATAGTGAATATGATAGAACGATATAAAAGAACATGGATAGAACAGGTAAGAATATGATAGAAAAGTAGAACTTGATAAAAAGTATATCGAATAGCCTGGTATAGAATTTGATATAGAGAACATTGAACAGGATAGAACATTTTGATACAAGAACTTTAAAATAAAAAAGTTATAGGCAGTCAAGTCTGTTTATGCGTTCGGTTTATTTCATTTGAATCGAATCGTTATGGCTGACCAAAAATGTACGGTACTTTATGTATATGGCTATGGGCTATGGCTGACCGCAGTATTGTATAGGAGAGAACAAAGTTAAACAAATAAAAATGCAAATTATTTGCTTTCTCAGATTATTTTTAAATGCGACAAATAAACAGGTTTTTAAACAGAGAATAACATCAGAATTCAGTGATGAAATATTAATTATGTCCTAAACAAAAATAATTCAATTTTATCAGCTTATTCTGCTGATTCTATAAAATTACAAAAACCGGGTTAATAAACCCAAAACGTTTTCCCTTTAGCTCAACCTTCAACATTCAAGGTCAAAACTGAATTTGAATTGAACCACGTACAAATGGCTATAGTGCACACTCCCATGATATAATAATGTGTGTCTGTACTGGGGGAAGCTGTGGTTTCTAGGATACGTCAAAAACACACAGGAATTGAGGAAAGGGGAAAGGTTGTTATAATTCGGAATGTGGTTAAACATTTCAGGTTTTCCCGGGACGACAAGCAGGCTTAACTTGTTGAAAGTATTGCAACAAATCTGCAGGGAATAAAGTTTTACAAATTATATTTTTCAACAATATTATTTTCATGAAATATAAATAATAGTTTGTTCTGTATTTCTAAGAATTAAAATAAATTAATTATTTTGTAAAGGTTGTATAGCCAGCCTCGTACAGACAGGATACGGCGCCAACTGTCTGGTCCGGGCTGGTACGGCATTTCAATGTGTTCCAATCGGTTTGTGGGCCACAAAATTTGGAAAATTTGACTCGCTTGCTGAGAGGCACATTTAGTCTATTTTCAACCAATCAGACGTCGAGAATTGAAAGAGGGGTTATGACGTCATATCCATTCTCTCCTGTGATTTGTTGATCGTGACATCAAATATCCGCAATTCTCAGAATTTCGTCATGTTTTCGGTACAGTCCTGTAACCTGCCCCATTCAGTGCGTAGACATGACAATTAACTGCTAGTCGGGATATTACTTACACGAGGCAGGGAGTGCAAAACGTTTTGTGTTTAAACCATCAAGGGGTTCTCCTTGATTTTGAAGCAGAGTGAAATCAGTTATAAAATCTCCCCGATATTTTCGGGTGAAATATCCGCTGAAACTACAAGAGCGGAATACATACTTAATCCACGTGTTTATCTAGAAGTTGCTTGCAGCTTCTAGAACGTTCGGATCCGTTCCGAACTCGTGGAACAGCGTCTCCCTGGAGCTAGGGAACAGGAAGGCTTTAGATCTGCTGGCTGCAGGAACCAGCAAGGAACAAGCAGGAGAGATAATCTTGCAACAACAGCTTTACCCAATTAGTATTAAAACAGGAAGGATTCATCCAGACAGACTTGCAGGTATGCACTTATACTCAAAATGTCTGGTGCATAAACCAAAACTCAAG